CCAATTAGCATGGTTAGTGGCCCTGTCATGTGATCTGGGCTAGTTTACTGTCCAAGCTCACATAAAGTATTCATCCTCAGCATATACGTGCCCTCTTCCACCTGCCATTTAAGAAAACGCTGATATACTGACAGTGGGTTTTTATCCCTGTCTTTTTCTCCTGTCATTCTTTATTGCTTTATCCCCTCTCATGCGCACATCGACCTGAAGCCCACATTATGAGGATGGTAGTGAGTCAGCCACCTGTTAATCATTGTGACAAGTGTGCTTTCTGACAGGTTGGACACTCTTAAGGCCCGGGTGATTCAGCCTGCAGGGCAGAGAACAGCACCTGGCACAGAGGCGGCCTGCAGGGCAAGAGCTCTGTTATTGAAATTTGAATCTGATCCAGCTCTGATTCAATCATATCATTTCCGTGAGTGCGTGTGTGCATATTTTGAAAGATCATTGCATAGCTCTGGGATAGATCCACAACAAATCTTTTTTACTATGATCAATCCTAATAACCTAATACACTTCCAGTCCATTTCCCCTGAGTATTGATTTATAATATCCATGCTTGTGTGCGTGTGTGGAAGTGAGATAGCAGGCAGAGAGTTAAATGTGACATTTAATTAGGTCCAGATTTGTACTTCAGCATTGATTTGGTTCAGAGAGGGCATTGGCTCGCTGAAAAAAACTTGCCTTATGTAAATGCCATTAAGAGCAGATCTCTAATGGGTATTGCAGCACTGCATGACACTTCTGAGACTGTAAAACAGCAACATAACTGCTTTTTAAGACTATTCTCTCTCTTTCTGCTTTGATTCACTGAAAGAAAGTCGAAATATTCTGCTCCGAGTTGAGCACACAGACAGTCTGACATGCATGTCGTAGTTTTTCTTCTAAATGTCACCACATTTGACTTTTAATAAGTGCAGGAGAGTTTAAAATCCAATTATCTGACAAAAAGAGACACGCGGTGGAGCATTTCTGATCCGCAGTGTATAATTGTCAGAATTCATGCTTATAAGATGATGTACAATCCATGTGTGCGTCAAGGGTCAAAGAATTTACGTGTATACATAAAATTAACTAAGATGCTATTGTTCCCTTTCCCCTACCAGCGATGTTTGTGTTCTTTATGTGCTTCCTGTGGCGCTTCCTGTCTCCATCTCAGCCGTGACATCAGCCTGACCTCCGTAACACCAGAGACTTCCGGTAACACTGATACTGGTCGGGAGCATTTAGGTGGGGCTCCGGATTGTTTGGTTGAGGACGAAATATCAGGACGTTCTGGTCGAGGCTGCGGAATGTTCGAGGGAGTTCGGAACATTATGGAGAGATTCTGGAATGTTTAGGTGAGAGAATCGGAATGTTTAGCGGTTCAACTGGAACATTCTGTGGGGGTTCTGGAATGTTTAAGTTAGGGGGATGTTCTGGTGAGATTCTACTAGTGCTTGGGTGACGAGGGTGAGAACTTTCCAGTGGGATTCTAGAATGTGTAAAGGGGGTATCGGAATTTCTTAGGGATTCTGGAATTTTAAGGTTAAGAAGTCAGAGCTTTCTGGTGGGATATGTGGCGAGCATAAGGGAGATCAGATCCTTCTGATGGGCTTCCTGAATGTTTTACTTGAGGATTTTTGTGCATTATGTATTATGTGAGCTTGTTTCTTCCTAAAAGCTGCACCAGCCAATATTGATGTATTTACAATGGATCAAATTTCTATTTGTAATGCTAAAGTTCCAGTGTGTAACATTTAGGAGGATGTATTGGCAGAAATGTAATATAATATTCAACGGTATGTTTTCATTAGCGTATAATAACCAGAAAATACACATTTTTGTGTTTTTGTTACCTTAGAATGAGCCGTTGTTAGGGGAAGCAGGGCCTCCTCTACTGAGGCCACAATGTTGAACTGCCACGATTCTACAGTAGCCCAGAGCGGACAAACCAAACACTGGCTTTAGATAGGGCCTGACAACACACAGGTTTGACAAGTGACTGACTTGTGGAAATAGTGGAGCATTTAGAAGCTAAAGAGCTACATAGTTCAGTCAGGAAGTGGTGAAGACCAAAGCAGAGCAAAAAACCTACATCTCTATCATTCTACCTGACTTCAGTGCAACTGTAGAACCCAGAAATTGTATTATGAAATGCAATGCAACACAATAACCTTAAGATGTTCTCTTTCTGTGTGATGGCTCAATTCTGTGGTACATTATAAGGTTGTTTTGTTGTTTTATTGAACTGTATACATTATATATTTTCCTAATATTTTGTCCAACTCGACATCTTACATTAGATTAAAACACACAGTTATTTTCATTATTGATTACTGTGTCCATTTTTTTGTTCTATAACTTTATATTAAATATTGCATCACATTTCCTCTGAGCCTACGGTGATGTCTTTAAATTGCCTTCAGACTAAAAAACCAAAGACATTGAATTTTCAATTATCTATAACAAAGAAAAGGAGCAAATCCTCACAGTGGAGAAGCTGGGACCAGACAATGATAATTTTTGAACATTGCTCAAAGGGAAAATGTATTGCTGCTTTCCTTTATATTGGTGACTGGGAGTGCATTTTGGTGCCACTACATTTGACTCTTAATGTCACTTGACGCCTGTATTGCCACCTTCGGTTTTAAGGTGCGTCACCTCCATGCCAGTGAAACTGATGTCCTACCTCGGCCAACATGTGTGAGAAAGAAAATGCCAGATGGAGAGAAAGTAAGGCAAGAAACTGAGAGCTAATTGACAAACAGCTGTCCTAATCCAACCTCGGTTATTGCTGTGTCTCTGAGTCAGACAGGAAGGGAAACTCTCTAGAGCCGACTGTCTGTTCAGACGTCTCTCTGTGAGAAGAGATGTCTCTTTCTGCTTCCTCATTTCCTTTGTTCCTTGTAAGAGACAGAGGCACACACTCGGATTTTATGGATGTAATACAAAACTGTCAAATCAACTGATGGTGTGGAGATGACATTAAACCCAGAAGAGGTCATGTTTAATTAATTGTGCACACATTTCTATCCACTACATAGAAGGGGAATGTATGTGTGTGAAGCAGGCTACGACAAGCAAATGAAAACATATCACCTTCAGAGCTCCAGGGAAAAAGGAAGTGGAGAGAATTACATTAAGATCTTGAATATTTCACAGTTATGACTCCCGTCTAATGTCTTGCTGATATCGCTGTCGCAGAGACCCTCTAATGCGTTTATAATTTTACATTCAGCTGCTGCTTTGTCAGCTGGGAATATGTTTACATCCAGATGAGCACAGAGGCAAAAATGCTGCGACCCACTGCTGTGTGCATCTGATGGCATAACTCATCTTTCATCCCCAGTGCCGTGCAGGGTGAAGACAGAATCAACATCAGCTCAGTCAGAATCAATTGAACAGGGAGACGCTCGCTCATCCTTTGGGCTCAGTAATTGGAGCAGTAAAGTTATGGTGTATTTTTGGATTGCATAACCCTCCCCCCATACACACAAGCCCTGTCCAAAAAAAAAACATCCCTTCTTTCATCACACCCACTCTTTATCTTCATCTCTGTGTGCTTGGGTGTAACCTGTCCTCAAATCACACTCTTTTCTTATTAAAACTGTCAACCTCCTGCTCACTTTTTTTTTTATTATGGCAATGCTTTAGTGCCAGCAATTACATTTTCTTTCATGATGTGTGTCCCCCTTCTCAAATGATAATTTCTCCGCCTGTCTCTTTCACCTCATGGCTTTTATCTTTCCCACTATCTTCTTTTTCCTACTGCTGTGCCTTTATAACGTAGCATTTAATATTCAACTCTGCAGCCTTGCTTCAATCAAACAGCGCTTATGATCTGTGTCACTCAATTTCACCCGAAAAACTAAAATTGAATGTAATCCTGCTGGATCTCGCTGCCCAAAAAAAAGATGGATTTGTCAGCAAGGCTTGTTTCAACTACATAAAAATTATTTTCACCTTGTGCTATTGATGCTGATAAGCCCCATTAGGCTCAGTAGAGGACGAGTAATG